AAAAAAAGGAATAAAACCAAACACACAAAATAAAACAAAAACAAAATTAAGTAAAATAATATAAAAATGAGACGAATAAATTAAATAAGAACAGCTCACTGTCGTTTCAGCTGCTCCACAGATTTACGCTCGTCCTCCAAACGTGCCCGCACTGCTTTCACGATAGTGGCCTGGAAAAGCTCCGCCCCCCTGGAACACAGCACACACAAGAGAAGTGAGTACGCCACCCAGCTTTGTGACCCCTACGAGGTGGAGCCACGCCTACCTGGAGGCGAGAATCTGTGAGGCCCTGATGTCGGCCACCACGTGCAGGAAGTAGTAGCTCATGAAGACACGCCGCTGCAGCAGCAGGAAGGCAAAGCAGATGCTGTCCCAGATGATGCCTGCCTCGTCGTTGGGCAGCTCGCACCGCTGATCCACCTCTGCTCGGACCAAATGCTTCAATGGGACAATGTGTGTGTGTTTCGGTGTACATTCAGGTGTGAGTGTGTGTGGGTGTCTTACTGAGATGCTCCTGGTTTGTGTTGATATTGTAATCCTTGATGGTGCACGCCAGGCTGAAGAGCTGGATGAGCCAGCACTTGTTGGGGATCAGAGAGTTGATGTAGCCACAAGCCAGAATCTGGAAACAACGGGAATGTATAAGTGGATCAATGCATGTGACAATAGTAATTCTTCTAAACAAGGTAACACTCCATAAAAGCAAAACACATTCCAAACTGATCTGATGGCATGTGCAGTAAATGGCATTAGAGAAGTGTTGACTAGATTTAAAAACAAACATGACACAGAATATGTACAAGAAAATATTGTACATATTATTTTATGCAAGTGTGTGAATAATTGAATTTCCATATTAAAAAAGTAGAAATGCAATTTATTTTGTTAGAATTAATATGTATATTTTGAATGTGTATTTTTTACACTGTTGTATTATATTCTTTACAATTCATTTAAGAATTTTTGTATATATTTGGGTTCTACTAAATGACAATTAATTCTGATGAGATTCAAGAGGAAATATTTTACAATTATATCTTTTTTAAATCTAAAGTGTTGCATCCACTTACAGACAAAATGTTCTTCATGGTGATGACAAAGATATTGTAGGCAATGAGGAAGTCCCAGTAGTGGAGAATCTTTTTAATGGGCTTGAGCAGGAGCTCGCCGCCGAAGAGCAGGAAGTAGAAACACGCCACCAGGTAACCCATGCAGAACACGCTGATGCGTGTGGTTCCCGTGATGAAGATGATTGTCAGCACGAACCAGAACAGATAGCTGAACATGATCACCTTCAGCATGTCCAAGTACGACCTACAGGGAACAGTTGAGTGTCAACTCGAAACA